ACAAACAACAAGTACCCGTTTTAAAATATCCGCTGTTGAAAACAGCTGCGTGCCGTATATTTTAAATTTTTTGGTACAACGTATAACTGTGAGTATTTGTGCTCTACAATGAAATTCGTAAAGGCAAAATTCCGTTCACAATTAGTTGCATTCGCGTACCTGAAAATCATTGAAAGTTATAAAAACTATCAGCTTTTTGTGTTCGCGTACGAAAAAAACTTGCAAAGTAGAGAAGTTGAGAGGGCAAAATGACATTTCATTTTGAGGGAAAGCTGCTAGTTTCTGCTGGAAAAATGTTTGCCAACAAGAGAACAGCTGATCAAAAACAGCTGGTTGGAATTTACGCAAATCCCTTAATTGAATTTGATGATTTGGAAGTTAAAATAGTAAAATTCGACTAATTAAACTCGCAAAGTGAACTATGTCTGGATAAGACTTCGGGATTTGTTTCCTTATGTTTTTGATTTTATACTTTTGTATGTAAACAAAATTTCTAACTTGCAAGTTTCTGCAAATTTTCTGTTCGCGTACTATTTTGGATATTTTTCTCTTACAACAGAACAGATGACATTTCGCCGGAACTTTGCTGTTGGACATTTTTTACTGGAGATTTTAAAGGAACGTACCTAACCAACATTTAACAGAGTTGCTACGAACGGCTTTTACCCACGTAAAACCAGATTTTGATAATTTGGCCAAAGACTCTTTTGAATTCCCTTTAATATCTATCTTAGGGACATTAGAATGATAATGTTTTAATGTTTTTATTTCTAATAATATATGTATTTAAAAATAAAATTTTAGTTTTTTTTTTGTTTTTTTCTTGTGGCTCTTTGTAGCATTTAGAATTTACATGTGGCTCTTTTCGGCCTCGGCCTCGGCCTTGCCCACCCCTGCTATATACTATGTGCATCAGGGATGGAAAATGGAAATTGTAAATTGTACCTAATTCAAAAAAATAATTGTACGTAGATCACAACTTCAAGCTATGTTCAAATTTGAAAAAGGCCCTTCGAGTCACTCAAGGAAAAAATTTAAAAAAGCAATTTTTTCTCATGCATCACTGAATATCCTTTTGGCACGTTTCTAAACCATTTGTATACACGGGATGCCTCTGACCTACGCATACTGACACAGATTTCAAAAGAAGAGATTAGTCAGGTGGTAGCCTTAAACAAAAGGACCCCGCTTATTAGGGACAACCGTAACTTCGGTTGTTGTAAAGGACTTCGTTTATTTTGACGCCCGCACAAACATCACTACCAAGCTTAGGCTGGGACGGAACGAAGAATAACTCTTACCAATAGATGTAATTTTTAACAATTCGAGAGCAGAAACCCTCCCAACGAACAAAAATCACGCTTTACAAATATTTAATCACTTTTGTCCCACATTCGAGAGAATATATTTACACAAGGTCTGTGGTCCTTGAGATTGGTTTCGCTACATTAGAGTGTACCTAAAAAATACTACATTTGTACCCTCCAATTAAGAAAAAGGTCTAAAAAGGGTATAATTGAGCCTACTTTTCCATTACAGACTTACAAACAAATGTATGTATGTACATAATGAATATTTACCTTAATTGGCTGATAACAAAAGCAACTGCGACAACTACCTTCAAAACTTCGGAGAGTTCAACAACAAACGATTAGGCCACTAAGCAAATGTACACACATATGGAGTATATCGTCGGTGATACTGCAAAACGTTCTATGTCACTTTTCACCTCTGATGCTTAATTGATCCGTTATCTGCATCTGATCGCTTCTGGCAATCGTTCATCTTCATCGGCCAAAGGTAGACAGTTTTGTCATTCGTTTCTTAGGGTGTAACGATTTGCAGATGCATTCCGGTGCAAGTAAGAGACCATTTAAGTGTCAAAGGTACAAATTGACATAGACCGTTTTGCAGTATCATCGACGATATAGAATATTACACGTATAGAAAGAGATATCAGCAATGTGGAACCGTAACCAATTCGGGAACTTTTATTATTGCTTGTTGTTTATAATAGTGAAAAGGTGACGTTCGCCGTAGGTCGTAGCGTTTTTTCAATGCCGTTCGCCTTTCGCAAGCCTCCGAGTATATTCCGCCATTGTATTTCAGTTTTTAGGATGATTTTTATGTAATTTTAGGTTTTTACTATACATCATAGCTCATTTTTCCTTTGTTATATTTTCTGATTAGCTAATCGTGAAAACAATTAAAATAAATATAGATACTATATATAAATTACGCCGTCTCCGAACGGGTGATGAAAGTGATGTTGAACACGAAAAAATAATTCAGGAAATGCGAAAAATACAGAAAAATAAAATTTAGATTCAAAGTGATCTTAAGTCATTTGCACTCGAAAGTGAATTTGATTAAATTACGGACTCTTTTACTAAGGTGCCCCATGCTCCACGTAAGACCAAATGTGGCGACAATGAATCTGTGTGGTTTCATTTTTGGATTGCTAAGAACTGTGCGCTTACTGTAAAATGCAGATATTGCCATAAAGTCAAAAGCCCGATAAATCCCGGGATTATTAAAATGTTTCGGGATTGAATGCCCTAGTATGTGCATGCATACGGTATCGATCATATCAATAGCGCCCATTTCAAAATGATATAGTTTGCCACTAATGTTTGTTTATTTATTTTTAAGAAGTTTCAATTAAAATGCAGTTCATTCTCTAACAAAACCCAAGTTTTAAAAATTGTAGAAAACTAAAAAAATTCATCAAACTTTCATCCAAATTTTAATTTTTTTTTTTACTATATAATTTTATAGCGCATTCAATTTTAGTGCAATAATGTGTGATTTTTTTTTGTCGCATTTATTTTCACATTACGAATAACTAAACAAAATTTATTTTTATGTAGCCAAACTGCAACACCTTTGGGGAAAAAAATTCTAAAAGATCAAGGATAATTTTTGGCCACTTGAAACCTGCACTAAAATTGAATGGGCTATAAAACTGTATACTTAAAGAAACTCTAACACTTCTGAGAAAAAATTTTGAAATTTAGATGAAAATTTGTTGATTTTTTTTTATCAACGTGATTTTTGGTTAATATTACCAAATTCAAACTTGAAAAGGAATCAACGTATTTTCAACAATGATTTGGTAGTATTAACCACAATTTGTTTTACAATAACCAAACTTTTGGTAGGCGATTTTTTCATAATTCGGAGATACAAAAAAAAATGTATGATCATTTTAATACGTTGCCCTTGACGGGATGAGCAAATAACAGCAAGCATCTCTACACACTCAGCTACAGCCGATTTATAAATTTGTCTTTAAATTTTCAACTTGAATCAATTTTCTTCGTCGTTTAATTTGGTATCGCACTTCACAGATGCTTTTTCGTAATAAAAAAAGAATCCAAAAAACAGAAAAATAAAAATTATGTGTTGCCGCTGACGACATTCGTACTCGAACCTGGTGGAAGTCAACAAATAACAGCAAGCACCTCTGCAAGTTCAACTACAGCCAGGCATACGAATTGGTATTAAAATTTTCAATTTGGATCATAATAGTCCTTACAATTATGTATTAACCATGAAAAAACCAAACAATAACTTGGTTGAAAAAACCATTGTACTTTTGGCTCAGTGTATTTTAATTGAAAAATCTTAAAAAAAAATAAATAAATAAACATTGGGGACAAACCATATCACTTTTAAATGACGTGCTATTGATATGACCGATACACTTGAAGGTATGACATTTCCTGCCGAGGTAAGAGCGCGCTCGAAAAACGCTAGCGCTGTGCAAAGGTATGTATGTATGTATGCATGCGCACATATCTACACATACATGCATACAAATTCAGTGAGCAATTTCTTTAAGGTTTGTTGCGTTGCAATTCATTCACAAAAAGTTTTTAGTGAGTATAGGGAGACCTGAGAATTCACCACCATATATACGTGCACACATACTTGCTTTGATTGGTAGGATCTTTTGCTTCTGTTTAATAAAAAGTACGCTCCAATATAAAGTGGAAGGGAATGAACGCCCACCTCCTCACCATTTCAAAGACCAGCTGTGATTTCTGCAAAGGCGGTTGGGATGACGCCAACGCCTCCTTTGGCTGTAACGGCAACGGTGTTATAAAACGTGAAAAAGGCAAAGCAAGGAGACGGTGGTCACAAATCGTCGCGAGCGACGATGCTAATTCATGTGTGCTACTCCGTTATGCACGCAGCTCCAATCAGGAATTTCCGTTTGGCTGCAACAACTCCCTCAACAACATCTCTTCACTCAACACTGACACCTTGATTACATCGCTTGTACCACCACAAGCAAGGCTATCGCTGCAACGACCCGCTCGCTTCTTGAAATCACTGCCACACCAACGTCCGAACGTAATTGAATGCGTATGCTTTCTTTGCACATTGACTACCCTGAACTTAGCACTTTCATCAAGTCTTAAAATTAGTTCTAATTTTTGATATATGTATATTAGACTGCATCACTCCCCATACAAAAAAAAAAATCGGTACTATTTTTCCATTGGAATTATAAAATCTGTTATATTTTAAGACGTCCACCAAAATATTTCGGAAAAATATTAAGATTTAAGTGAGCTGGACCAACTTCAAAATACCTCAAAAAATGGAGTTTTTTATGAATAAAAATAGTTTCTTAAAATTTTTTTTTGATTTTTAATATTTTTATGCAGATTTTTTAAGCTTAATCTGTTTCGTCATCTGAGGGAACTTTTTTCAAAAAGTTCTTTAAGAAACTATTTTTATTCATAAACAACTTAATTTTTGGAGGTATTTTCAAATCGGTCCAGCTCACTTAAATCTTAATATTTTTCCCAAATATTTTGGTGAACGTCTTAGAATATAATAAATTTTGTAATCCCGGCGACGGAAAAACCGCAACTTTTTTTGGTGATGCAGTCTAATGTATATACATACATACTGAAATACATATGTATGAACAAACTCGCATAATATTACTCTCACATAATATTTTGTTTTTTTCTTGCTTCTTACAGAAGAATAAAGAATTAATGAATGATATAATCACCAGCTGCAAATTGAAGAATGGTGAGTTATAATAAATTTTGTTAGTACATATATGTATGTATAATGCAAGCTCAAAACATATTTAGCTAACTAATTCAAAACTATTCTGATAATTTAATCCGTCAGTCTAATTAATACGAATCCTTCGTTGGTCGCTGGGTTCGCTTTTGAACTCTATGTAAATATACATTTGGATACAAAACGGGGATGTCCGATTGGCAGCCAAAAATTTGTGTGCGCTGTTACGAACAATTGTTTTATGTATAAAAATCGTCGCCTGAATATGAGGCCATGAGAGCACATTTTTTTTTTTTCATAATTAACTTCTTAAAATTGGTTCAAATTGGTAAGCTTTAAAATAAAGGTCGCGTATTCCTTAATTTGGTGTACGCTATGTTGTCTTTCACCTCAAAATAAGGGAATACGCGACTTTAGTTTTAAAATTTATCGCATTGGAGACTACATATTTTAAGTAGGTAAATGCAAAAAAAAAAAATAAAAAATTGGGTTACGCCTCTTCTGCTCTCACGGCCTCATATAAGTTTATCGTAACAACCATTTTGACGATTTTTAGTTATAGATACAATTAAATATTTCAAAATAAGATCTTTCAAATGGCCTTATTCACTTTTAGATGTATCCTTCAGTTTCCGATATATTGGCTATAATTTTATCGATAATTCAGTAAACATTTTCTTCACATTTTGCCGTAGAAGAAAATCCTTCGTAAACTCAAAAATAAGTAACTGCAAACAAAGAAAACTAAATATTTTAAAAATTTCGTGCACCATTAACGTTCGCCGGTACTTAAGGAAAAATCTACAATCACGTTACAAATTCAATCACGATTTCCCAAAGTCTGCCGAAAGTAACTTACGACAATACTTCACCCAGGCGACGATATGTATGTACGATATGTATGTACATATAAACATGTGACAATACCGGTGCCATACAAAAATTTACGATATGTGACCAACACAAAACATTGCGGTATATAGCACTGCTCAAACAGATGCGCGGTATACAGGTGCGATGCGATGCTTTCAAAAATTGTATCTCAGCAAGCACGATATCGATCGCACGATTTGAGTGTCTTTTTCATTGTGGAGTTCTGAAATTGTAAATTAATAATTCAACTCGTCAATTATTACCCCATATTATTCTTACCATCTGATGTATTCGGAATATGAAGATTGACGTGAGAAAGATGAAGCGCCACAGTGTGTCGTATTGCACCAGTTTGAGGGCCTTTTTGCTTTCTATCGTTATCGCATCAAATACGATATCTTATCGCATCGAGAGTATCGCATCTGTTTGAGACCACCTTAACGAGATAAGAATGCACTTAGAAAAAAAAAACCAAAAGCAGATCGGAAAATTTTAGTGTAATTGAATTGAATTTGAATAGTTATTGGCTCTGAGTTATTTAAGTATGTATGTGCGTACGCAAATTATCTTGTATTTTTTTAAGGATTCGGTTCCGGTGTATCACCAGTTGCGTCATCGCCAACTAAACGCCCATTAAGTCCAGACCATCCGAATCCCGCATTACCAATTACCGAGGTAAGAACGCTGATAACACAAATTATGAACTATGATTTAAGAAATAATTTTCGCATAAAAACAAATATTTGTACAGTGAGCAACTTTATTAAAAATTAATTATTAAAAAACTTAACTTTTTTCACATTATACTTAGTTTACGATGCGCATTTACTGCTAAAATGATATGACTAAAAGCCGAAACGAAAAACGAAAATGCCAGAATTTCACAAAACATTAATATTCGGTTTTTAATATCAAATATTTTCAAATATGTAAATGCATCCAATATTAGGGACTACTTCATATTTAGTACTTGCCCCATTATTTAAACGTATTGGCGTATAATTTATTATATTTTTTTATATTTTTTTTTTGATAGTCTTGCGGGATTTTCGCACATTTTTTCTGAAACCTTTCTTTTAGCCCCCTTTGTAAAGAAATCGGCCTATGTAGAACCCGCCTTTCCAACTTGTCCCAAAAATTTTCGATGGGTTTTAAGCTAGTAGATTGCGGAGAAGTATAAATCAATTTAGGAAATTGCAGAACGGCCATTCAAGGACATTCTGAGCAGAATTCCTATTTCCTCAGATGATTGTTTCAAATTTTGCCTCAATATATTAAATAAATAAATATCCTCGTTCGTAATATTCTCGCTAAAAACGAGATTTTTACTTTCCGTGATGAAATTCACCCCAAACTATTACATGGCTGCCTTCCTCCTTTAGGCGCTGCGGCTTCAACGCTTCATTAGGCTTCCAACAAGCCATTCTTACGTATGTACATATATGTTACTTCCAAGAAGGTTGAATTTGCTTTCGTCTACATATAAAAGTAACGATTTATGTATAAGAGCAAATCCCACGAATTGTTCCTTTTTAGTGCCATTAAAACATTAATTAACTAAACTTAACTTAAAACATTTATTAAGGCGAAGAAGTACCGAAATTACTAATATTTTCATTGTCCCTCGAAAAAATCATATTGTTTTTTTTTCATAACTTTGGTAAGCTTTCAAATAGAATGTTCATGGTTGAGGCAATGGACGTGGGCTCAAATATAACATATCTGTGACGTTTCAAGAGTGCACCACGAAATTAAAAAGAACATCGCAACATGCAGAATATCTGTCGCAGCTATTTTGTAATTTTTGAAATTTTACGATTTTTTTAATTTTAATAACTTAAGTCACTTCAAAATGTTCATTTCCCAGCCAGCAAAATCATCGTAAACAAGCTCGTAATTGGATATTTTCTCGAAGAAAAACCGGATTAAAAATCGTTTATGATAGCCGTTTACGACTCTTTTCGAACACTTTTTCGCTTTAAATTGTGCATCGCCTACGAACAGTCGTAAACGGATCGAAAAAGCATTCGTATGCGAATATTTTTACGTCCGTTTTTTAATTGTAAACGAGTCTCGTAAACAATTAATTTACGTTAGAAAAGCGTTTTTTACACTGCTTTATCTACTGTTTTTGAATGCTAAAAATAAAGGCAATTAATAAATTCAAGTTATTGTAGCTATTTTATTGAATGGAATTATAATTAAAAAATATTTATAGTGCCGGATCAAAGTATTGGCACAGAGAATTTTTCGCAATGTATGCAAAGTTTTTTACTTGAATTTCTTTTCGCACATTTTTTTTTTTTAAATATAGTTAGTATGAAGACCTACTTTCAAATCAGATTTTTGAGAAAAATTCTAAGTATGCAGTTTTATATCCCATTATATTTTAGTATAACATAGTGCAAGCTTGAAGTTGCCAGAAAACCGCGTTGATTTTTGGCAATTTTTTTACGCAGTTTCTTCCATGCAAATTATGTGCGACATTTTTTTCTTGTATGGAAGAAACTGCGTATAAGAAATTGTCAAAAAACATAGAGGTTCTCTAGCTATTCAAGCGTGCACTTTATTATACTAAAATTAAATGGGCTATAAAACTGCGTGCTTAAAATTTTTCTAAAAAATCTGATTTGAAAGTAGAATTTCATACTAACTATATTTTTATAGAAAACAATTAGAGAAGAAATCAGAATAAAAATCTTTGGATTCATGGCGAAAAATTCTCTGTGCCAATATTTTTTCCCGGCACTGTATATGTGAAGATATTTTCAGATAAATAAATATTAACAAACTATCTATTAACAAATTAACAATTAAATAAGAGGGGTTTAATATATATTATAAAGTAGCTGAATTTATTTTTTATCTTTTTTGCCGATAGGCTGCCAATTTTTTTTGCCGGTCGTGTGCATATTGGAAGTGCTTCTTTGAAACGGAAATAAAAACTTCTTCGTCGGAGTTAAATTTTTGACGACAAGCACCTAAGAAAATAAAGTGAAAGATTAAACTCCATTGGAAATCGGAAAATTTAATTAAGTAAAAAGTGGTAATAAATAATATTATTATCCGTACTTCTTATTGCCGCAGTCGTTGCCAAACCAATAGCGCTGCTTTTGGTACCAGTTCCCTTCCACGAGAAAAGTTCTGCTACCTCATCTGTAATAATTTTCCGCCAGCACGTTCTTAAATATTTATCTACATTTAAAATATTTATAGCTTCGAGTTCAGAAACCTATAAAGTGTTTAAAGAATGCAATAAAAATTATTTTATTATGATTAATTTATGTTTTTAGTTACCAATAATTGTTGTTTTTCACTTGAACTCCCAAGGTCTTTTTCATATTCCATAAATTCATGCTTTTCCTTAAATGGGCTTCTTGGTAGATCGCCCTTTGCGTTTGCACCAGTCTGCCAATAAGTCACATACTTAATAACTTTCTTAAATTGAATATTTAACAAACTACTTACATACTTATAAAATATTGTGATTGAAGAAAAATTGTCAACAAAACTAAAATTTTTTCTTGTGCTGACAAATTACTACAAGCCTCTTTATATTATATTTTTTTGTTTTATCGTTTACGAGCTTTTCTCTAACTTTTTGGCGATACGAGAATTCCTCGTAAAACATAATGTTCGTAAAATGTACGTTTTCTTGCTGGCTGGGTTTCAACGATGAAAATGAAAAAAAAATAAAAATACATTGAGTAAAAGATGACTCTATGATGTGAGAAACTAAAATTCCATTTTTTTAAATTTCTATTGTTGCACTCGAAATTCATTCAAAAATTGTTATATACATGAAGAAAGAAATATACATACATATATGTGCATAAGGAATATGGTGTAAAAATCTTAAATGCCAATATTTAATCACTTTTAAATAATATGGCTTTCAAGTTAAGGCGTGCGACTAAACTTGTTAGATGACTGCGTATGGTGCTACGTGGCGTATACGTTATATACGCAGGTATGGGTATACATATGAGCAGGGAACGGATTTTATGGAAACTGCCTTTTTTTCTGCTAAAGAGATAGAGTATATTCGATTAAGAATGTCCACGATTTAGCTTTCCCTGATTCCATATATACACATTTGATGTTGCCTTTTTTTGCCTTTTTTAAGATATTTGCCTTTTCTACCTTTAAAAGAGTGACTATAGCATTTACAATTTTTTTTTTAAGATTAAAAAATATAGACATGCCCATGCGGTTTATAGAAGCGCAGGGACCTCTTGCCAAATTGGTGTTGGAAAAATTAAAAGCCGTTTTCTCAGTTAACGTAGGCTTAGAGACAATAAGGGGTGTGGATAAAATTGTAAAGGGCGAAGAAAACGCCCTTATTCGTGATAATATGAACGTTTCAAACGTTCCATATTTAAATTGGCGCCCAATTGTATCAACTCACGTCGAGCGCACATTTAGTACATTCAAGGCTTTTCTTCGCGAAAATCGAATGAAAATGCTGCCAGAAAACTTCAAAATGCATCTTGTGGTTCAATGTTACTACAACTATACAGATTAAAGTTTTATGAGTTAGAAACTCGAAAGGATAAAATAGTCAAAGATTCAAAGTACAAATTTTTCATATAATGAAACTAGTTCATAGTTTTTCTCTTTTTACTTGTAATATAAACATTTCTAAAATAAATGTATTTTTTGATTGTTCTTCGTATTTTCTGTCTTTTTTAGTGCCTTATTTTGCTTTTTTTGCAATACCTTTTTTTTGCCTTTTCCTGCCTTTTTCGCTATTTTATTTTGCCTTTGTTATAGGTTTTTAGGTCCTAAAAATCCGTTCCCTGCATATGAGCATGAGTGGTTATTTCTGCTTTTTTCAACCGACTTCACAAAACGACGATCGTCGGAATATTTTTTTTTACGTATTTACCGCATAACTTTGGACAACGTGAACCGATTTCTATAATTCTTTTTTTAAAGGAAAGATGTTGCCTCACCTACTAATTTGGTTTAATTCCGAACATTATATCATGATGAAATTAACGATAATCTTAAATTTTTATATGAGAGCTGAAGTTGGTTTTTTTTTTGCTTAAAAACTACTTGTTTAGTATATCTTTTTTAAGATTTCATATAAACACAATTTCGCGATGGAATCTTGTTCTTTATAAAAAACTGAATATAATGCATTTTCGAAGATAGGTGAACCACCATTTTTGACCAAAAACACGTTTTTGTCGATAAATGCAACAACTCGTGGAATTCGCTGATATTGGTAAACTTTTTCTCGTGCGTTCGTTTATCAATGATTTTTTTTCCTCGTACATTGAGTCCTTCGGACGATTGGTTTGGGGTACACCTACCAGAGATGCAAAAGTAGGTACAATTGTACTTTCTTCACTTCTTCTTCAGCACTTTACTTAGCTATCCTCAAATTCGTGTTTTTTTTTCTATTAATTTTAACGCTTACTTTCACTAAGTCAAATTCAATGGCATTTTCGGTAAAATGAGTTAAAACAAATTGTCAAATGGGAATTAAAAAATGGTCTTTTGATCGATTTAGATCAGAATAGGCCATCAGGCGTGTACATGCGCTGCTAAAGCGGCTATTTCTAAGTTTTTGGCCCATAATAAATATCATCGATAAAGGTAGGGATAAAAGAAAGAAAGTTGTGTCAAAATATGTCGACAAATTTTGTTGTCAAAATATGACATATGTCTTCACATTTCATATTTTCTTTGGATGAGAACTAAAGCTATTGCTTCGAAGTTACTTACGGCAATTTGATTATTTTCTCTAGGCTTGCTGCACCTATCAAAAGGAATTGGATAAATTAGCAGACTTTTCCTGTTATTTTATAAAAATCTGGATAAAGAAGTACACTTCGCAAATCCATCTTTTGTATTCATGTTTTAAATAAAATTTATAAAAAAAAAAAAAAAAAAAAATAAATGTTTCAACTTTTTTTTATGTACAATGTGTCTCATTTAGGTACATTTATTTTATAATATTATGTACAATCTGAAATTTCCAACTTTAGGATTTTGGAGAGGCAAAATTTTAAGCAATTATATGAAAAAAAAATGGCAATGGTGCGCAGTTTTAAAGTGACTCACTGTACATTGCAAAATGAATTGTAATGAATTCCGAATTCGCCCCGTTGCTGTTGCGAATGACTGAATTTAGGGATTCCCTAATTTTTATTCATACATATTTCTAATTCTTTTAAATCTTTACCAATGCTGCAAACAACATAAACCGAATCAAACATCAACATCATGCTCAGTCACCGAGTCCTAATATGAATCGGATGGGATGGGCTCTGCGTATTCTTCTCGTCGCTGATAGCTCAAGTTGTCTGAGGGATAGAAAAGTAAGTGAACACTATATAATATATATATATATATATATATAGAACATACATATGTACATACGAATGTATTTGAAATGTCTATTTTGCTATTGGGCTAGAAGTTGCTTTCTGTGTTTCTCCAATTTTGCCCAGGTGTTATGGCAATACTCTGTACAAATTTCGTGCTATTCTGTCCATCCGTTTAGGCTGCAATCTGGCACATATTTACATACATACATACATACATATGTAATTCCACAAATATATAGTAGATATCTATCCTTCTCTTAGGGTAAAATAATTTTTGGGAATATCTCTTACCTATCGTGTAAGTTGTAAGTCCAAATATTTCTTTTCAATTGGCGAAATTATATTCTAAATATGAGCAAAATCGGCAAGTAAATGCAGCAGCGAGAAAATTTTTGGTAGAAATTAATTATTTTCAAATATGAATCGAATCGGGCTAGCCGTTCAGTAGTTTAGTGACATTTAATGTACAGAAAACTGAGAAATTGTGAAATCGTGACGTCTCAGCATTCTTCATTTATTCGGCAACAACAAAAAAAAGTTTTGAATTTTTTTTTAATCGAAAAACCTTCCACACAGAAGGTCCAAAAAAGTACTTTTTACACAATTTAAATCGGTTCAGCCGTTTGGTTTGGTTTTTATATATATAGATAGAATAGAAGATAGATTGTAAAAAAAAATTTACAATATATACAAATGTATGATAGATACTATCAATAAATATGTACATATGCATGTATGTATGTATACTAATGCAATGCATAGTAAAGATATGCATACCTATTCACATGCTCATACATATGTATGTGTATTTAATTCTCTGTCCAGGTTGCTGGAAAATTAATACGGAAATGTGCACCTGGCACCGAATTAGTGGACTGGCTGGTGAATTTATCATCCATCGTTCACACCCGCGCCCAGGCAGCTGGTATGTGGCAAGCGCTGCTCGAAGAAGGAGTGCTATCGCATGGTGAGTTACACTCAGAAAAAAGCCAGCCAAATATATTCCTCTCAACACATGATTTGGTAACTATAAACAAATAATGTAACTATAACCAAATCATGTGTTGATAAAAACATATTTAGTTGACGTAACTAAACTCTTTTCTCAGTGTACTTTAATTAAAACTTCTTAAAAAATTTTCTCTACATACTACTCGTGCATAAATATATATTTAAATGTAATATTTTTTTTTGTGTTCCTATGTTGGTAGTTAATAAAGAGCAACCTTTTAAGGATAAATGTTTCTTATATCGGTTCCGTGTTGACGAGGAGGGCACAGCTGGTGGATACCCAACTACCGAGGACATTAATGCGGCCAATGACTATATCCGCGAGTCTCTCAGCACGCTTTTTCAACGAAGCCCGGATGCAACACTGCGAATGATTTTACGCAAACCGTAAGTATACTTTTTCGCGCAAAAAAAAAATGTTATTCATCAAAAGCTAATAAGCGCATACAAATGAATACACATAAGTATCGTGAATTTGCTTACATATGTCCCTACATACATATGTCCCTACTTGCATAGAAGAGGAAATTTGGAGGAAGAAATGATATTTCACAAGTTTTTACTGTGCACATTGTACTTAGGCTCAAGGCCTCCCTATCGCTCCTAAAACCATTTTGATCTTCGCGGGCATTTTAGAAGATCCCTGTCCAAGGCTGCCAACTATCCTTAGCTATAAGGTGCCATATTGTAGATAAAAAAGTGCCAAATAGAAAAATCAAATTAGCCAAAAAAGGTGCCATTAAAACGAGAACCACATTTGTAAAATAAAAGTGTAACGCCAAAACAAGATAAACCAGCTGTATAAACTTTTAAAATCAGAAAGTTTTAGTGGAGAAAATACGCAAAAATGTATCGAAATATTGCTGCTTTCCAAAAGTGCCATTTTGAACAATGCTATGAAGCAAACGCCAATAAAACAAATTTGTGTTATTTCTCAATTAAAAGTGAAATAACACAAATTTGCTTTGTTTTATTTTTTTGTTGACTAATAAGAGCAACTAACATTTGAAAAAATTTTGGTCGGATGACATAAGACCCACGGCCATACTGGAAATTGACATCATGACCACATAAAGTGCCGTTTGAAATGGTCACAATGTCAATTGATATTAAGACCGTTGTGAATTTTCCTTTATGACCACCTACGGCATTTCGGATTGACCTTATGACCATTTTGAAAAAAAATAAATCATAATAAAATGCCACTAGTTCACTGTTGAAAACAGCTACCGAACTCAAAGTTTCAACAAAAATTAGTACATGAATAAGTTAAACAGACGGATATGTATGAAAAAAAAGAAATGAATATTTGTATATATATGCCACGCTGCGTTCGCCTTCACTCTCGCGGAGCTGACGGGTTGTTGTAGCTCATTTCATTTTTTAACCGACTTCAAAAAAAGTAGAAGGTTATCAATTCGTCGGAATGTGTATATATTTTTTATGTACTATCCACCGATTTCCATAATTCTTTTTTCATCGGAAAGGTGGTTCCATATTAAGTTTGTTTAGATCGGATAATTAGATCATGAAAAAATTAACGGTGCACCTAATTTTTTATATGGGAATTGAAGTCGGTTTTGTTTTTTGCTTAAAAATTACTTGTTTTTTTATTTTAATAATGTCATTGTTACTTTGTTGTAATTATTCTCACTCGTAAAAAGTTGTTTTATAATTTCTAAACAGAAATCTTCAAAAGTTCAATGAAACCTTAATGGCTTTATTTCCATTTCCTGTTAGATTAAGGATATATCGAAATGATGGTTTTATTTCCAATCGCAAAAGGAAATAAAGTCATTATGGTTTTATTGCATATGGCGTTATTGCAATCCACCTGCTTGTACCGAATATATGTACGTTCAGATTTAGAAGTCTGAAGAGTAGGCACTATTCTACCTACTTTAACTTAATACTTCCATCCGTCAGCAAAATAGTATAGACAAGCAATGGGAATTAAGATAAAATTTGTTTTATTTTAAACCAGTAGTAGCCGGAAAGGTTTAGGAGTAGAGTGTACGTGTGCTTGTACTTACGCATTTAGCCTTAAGTCACAGTATAAGTAACTAGTTTGTAATTGTAGCAAATAATAGTTGGCCACCCTAGTTTATAAGACTAGCAGCAATAAGACTCGTTGTAATCCTAGCGATTAAACTCGATTGTAAAGGACACGCCATTTTTAAAATAAATGAGATTCATTCGATGTCTGCTAACGAGGACTTTGGACGTTTTTATTTAACCACTTTGCCTTCTGCATATTTAACAACTACTATTGGAAATAAAGCAAAACTCAGATTTTGGTATTATTTCCCATTTAAAAATCGACGGCTGAGTGGAAGATTGACCTATGTCGGCAGCCGGTTCGAAAACGCCGTATCTCAGAAAACTTTTCAAGAACGCCCTACTTTAGAATTTGATTGAAACACCCCTATGTCAGAATTTTCTTCACAAACGCCTTAATTCAACCACTGAAAATATGTTGAGATAGGGCGGGGCTATCACAACAACTTCTTTTATGGAAACTTTAAATTACAACAGTAATTGCTGGTTTGGTGTTACTTCTTAAAGATTTTCCATCTGATGATTTCATAGGAAATATTACATAATAAAATTTTGTTGCCAAATTATGAATATCTTAATAACACGGATTATTGTTCAAGAAATATTTTTTTCAAAAAAGTATAACTAATTTGTAGGGCCGAGTAGGATATTCATTCCTTTACCAAAAAGTAATGCAAGGGGTCCTTTAAGGATGTATGAAAAGAATGGCCGCGCAAACTCGCGCCAAAATGAGCGGCCACTTGTATTACACTAGACCAACTTTAGCAGTTGTTCCAAATAACATAAAGTATATAGAACACTACGGATTAATATAATTTTTCTATACAAGCCTGAAGTCAATTTTCAAAAACCGAAAATAACGAATCCAATATGGCGTCCAAGAATTTAAAAAATTGCTGAATTTTCATGAAATTTGGTATTTTGGGGTTCTTAGGTTCCCTTATTACAAATTTCAAACTAGTTTTAGAAAATTAAGAATTCAAAATCCAATATGGCGTCCGAGATTTAAATAAATTATTGAATTTTTTTGAAATTTGCTATTTAGAGGTTCGCATTCATGGCAACTCCGAAGGCTGTTATCGGAAGTTATCGTTACCGAATATGACGCCCTTCCTTACTGGACACATCTGTCATACTTCTGTATCCAATATGGCGCTCAGGAGTTTAAAAAACTACTAAATTTTCATGACATTTGGTATTGCTTTTGGTATGCCTTTGCCAGTAGGGCATTTTTCTGAGGAAGCCCAGGAGGTTCGCAACAAAGACTTCAGATGGTATCATTTACGAAAATTCAAACCTAAATAACGTTATTTAAAAATGAGAAAACTTTAGTTTGAGAAATCACCAATTTGGTATAAAATAAAATAAAAATCTTAAAAAATTGTTTGGGCTGATCATATAGAAGGCGGCCCCAACTATCCCCCATTTATAAATTTAATTATTGTTATTAATTCATAATTTGATCATAAATTCATTTTAAATTTGTTCGATCAAATACAATAAATCAGTAATTTTGCTTAACAAATATATTGTGTTACTCAACTAAAAACGATAGTGGATTTGACAGATTTCAACTGAAAAAGTTTGAATGTAGTATAGAACTCGAGATCAGTGAGCCTTAAAACCTAGTACGTTTACTTCTTGGGAAATTCTCCTTATTTTTAGAGAAATTGACAGCCCATTCGACAGCTGGCAAATCTCAAGGTTTTAATTTCACGTAAAATTCGTGACTGGCGTATCTAAAACCCTTACCAGTAGCATTTCAAAAAACAATTTCTTATTTTCAGAAAAATTAACAGTCAATTTGACAGCTGTCAACTCTCAAAGCTTCAATTTGACGTAAAATTCGTGATCAGCATGTTTAAAAACCTTATCAGTAACGTTTTAAAAAAGATTCTTTGATTTCTATAAAAACTTGTGAAAAAACTGTGAAACTTTTAATTTGACATAGAATTCGTGACTAGCGTGCCTAAAAACCTAATAAGTGGTATTTTCCCATGGTGTAATAATAACAAGGTGTTGTCAGTAACTTAACCTCACNGGCCGCGCAAACTCGCGCCAAAATGAGCGGCCACTTGTATTACACTAGACCAACTTTAGCAGTTGTTCCAAATAACATAAAGTATATAGAACACTACGGATTAATATAATTTTTCTATACAAGCCTGAAGTCAATTTTCAAAAACCGAAAATAACGAATCCAATATGGCGTCCAAGAATTTAAAAAATTGCTGAATTTTCATGAAATTTGGTATTTTGGGGTTCTTAGGTTCCCTTATTACAAATTTCAAACTAGTTTTAGAAAATTAAGAATTCAAAATCCAATATGGCGTCCGAGATTTNGCAGCCCCTCTAATTTTTAGCGTAAAACATAGCTTCTCCGACCACTGTGTGCCCCCTTTGTATGTAATTCATACAATACCCACTGGGAAAATAGGTAAGCACCTTACGAGGTGAGCCATGTTTTCTTTCAGTTTTTAGTACCAAAATTGTCATCATGGCCAATGTCATCTACTAGTAAAGCACAAAGTGAACACCTCCAACGACACATTACGTTGTCAGTTGCAAAGTAACGTGCAGCCGAAGTTATCTCCAAGCGCCGAACTACTCCGAGCGACTTCNCGATAGTGGATTTGACAGATTTCAACTGAAAAAGTTTGAATGTAGTATAGAACTCGAGATCAGTGAGCCTTAAAACCTAGTACGTTTACTTCTTGNTTTAAATTTTTCATACTACTGTAAAATCATCGTTTGCCGTTCATAAGGAAATTTCTAGCTGTTACACATATGCACATATGTTCTTATTACAGATCTCACGAACGCACTCCTGAAGAATTGGAATTGATATTTGAGGAGCTCCTTCATATCACCGCTCTTTCACACTTGTCGACGAGCATTAAGCGTGAGCTGTCTTCCATAATTGTTTTTGAATCGCATGCTCAGGCCGGGACTATACGTAAGTTAAAACAGATTTAAAAACAAATAGGTTTATCTACATACATATTTATGTATGTATGTATGTACATTAGACTGCATACAAAAAAAATCGGTACTGTTTTTCCATTGGAATTATAAAATCTGTTATATTTTAAGACGCCCACCAAAATGTTTCGGAAAAATATTAAGATTTAAGCGCGCTGGACCGATTTGAAAATACCTCCAAAAATGGAGTTTTTTATGAATAAAAATAGTTTCTTAAAGATGTTTTTTGAAAAAATCTCCTCAAATGACAAAAAGATAGGATGAACGACCATCATTCAAAGTTGAACTAAGATATGTTGATAAGATATTTGAAAAAAGAAATTACTGAAAAAACTACTTTTTTTGAGCATAAATAAATAGAGTGGGAAAATACTTTTCTACCGAGATCACATATGTAAGTCTAAATCAGAATGGTTTTGGCCCAGTTATTTAAGTTTTTCGTAAATCAATCTTTGAAAAAAGTAAAAAAAAGCATCATAATCTCATTATTGCGATTCCGTTGAAACGATTTTTAAATATTTTGATGCGATTTTTTAAGCTTAATCGTTTTTTGTTATCTGAGGGGATTTATTTCAAAAAGTTCTTTAAGAAACTATTTTTATTCATAAAAAACTCTATTTTTGGAGGTACATTAAAATCGGACCAGCTCGCTTAAATCTTAACATTTTTCCGAAATATTTTGGTGGACGGGTTCAAATATAATAAATTTTATAATCACAGTCTAATGTACATATGTACATATGTATGAAGAACGTTGAAAGTTTAAATTTGAAACTAAGTAATTAATTTATTAAATATGCAATTTATTATATCTTTATAAGAAGTATTAGCATTTAGTTGGTTGCCTGACGGATAATCGAAATACGATAATACATACATATTTAGAAAATTCCTTGTGTTGTTATTGTGCCATCTCAAGTTCCCTTGCCCCCCCTTCCCCTTATTAGAAAAAATTTTACAGATTCCTGTAACAATGAACAATGTAGGTACATATGTACACATTAGACCGTACCAGAAAAAAAGTTCGCCCTATAAACCTGAGTCTAAAGTATTTTTGCAAGGCATTCTTTTTTTGCCCAACGTATATTTTTAAATGCTTCATGTTATATCTTCGGTATTTATAGTCGGATAAAGAATGATATATCGATGTTCTTGCCTCGAGAAGACAGTTTTGAACGCAAAGTTCATTGACCTCAAGTACCCCATTTTAGTACTTGCCCACCAGATCTCAGTTCTGATGTCAAAAACATTTGTATTTCTTGCAATTTTAATCCCAACAAATATCCTGCAAGTGCCTGTCAATTTATGCTTGGTCTAACGATTCTTGCTCTGATATATTTAGTTTAAAATGTAATTTAAGCGATTAAAAAGATTTTAAGTACAAATTTAATAATCGTACTATACACACAAGGAAAAATTCAAGTGAATCAAATACATAATTTGCTTGAATAAATCGAGTTTAAGGTCTGAATTAAAAAAAAAAAATATTGGCTTATATTTTTTTCAAATTTTTCTTTTTCTGTTTCGACCATTATTGAAATTTATCTGTTTTTTTTTCTCCAACAACGATATGGGCCTGGCTGAATGATTTCGTAACTCGAATCACAACCATGATGATTGTCGGAATGCCTGACTCGAAAAAATCACAGTATTTAATCAGGGCGACGAAGGTCGATCCTGGTATATTTTGCTCAAAGGCTCAGTGGATGTTGTGATACATGGCAAAGGCACTGTGGCAACTCTTAAGACTGGTGATGATTTTGGTAAACTCGCTTTAATAAACGACGCGCCCAGGTAAGTGAAAGGAAGATTAAACACGTTATATATATATTTTTTTTTCCTATATTTTATAGGATGGTGAAATTCGTTAAAACAAAAATTTAATTCTAGAGTCGTTTAGTGATTATCTACTTAAGGTGTTGCTCAGTAACGTTTTGCAAAAAATGCCCTCTCAGAGTCCGTTAACGATTCATTAACGATACTTAATGAGCATCAAAATTAAGTAAAGAAAAACTTTACTTAGCTTTTTAACGAATAATTATAAAATTTTTTTGGAACCAAGTTCAACCCAAAGGTCTTGGCACTTAAAATTTTCTTCTGAATTTCTTTTCTACTATGTTTTCTAAGTTATTTAAGACCGAAAAGATGTAATAGATGTGCAGAGTACACTTGAGAGGCAACACTTCTCAATGCTTTTGAATGGCGGTAAAGGTGGCGCTCTTGCTGAAGGAGAACCCTAGCCTATATATAGGGATGAAGCTCACGTCACTCTACTCGACCAATACGGGATGAGAACAGCAATAAGGCAGCTTAAGAACAACAATGACCCCTTGGGCCGACGGTATACCGGCTGAGCGTATTTCACTTCTTCAATAGATCTTTATATGTTTCAGTAAGCACTTTGTCTTGTCCTCATTCACCGCTAGACCAACCTCTTTAGCCTCTACGGTACGGGGAGAGTCTTAATAAATGACTATAGAAAACACTGAAAATCGGGACTAAATCGGTACAAATATGACTTATACGTCCCGACTTTTAAAAAATATTCAGCGGAACAATTTTCTTAAAATCGGTACTGTCCCGCCAAAATCGGTACGAATGGTCACCGTAGTGATGCCGCAAAAATAAAAATGCCGCAGCTGGGCCATACTTAAATTTTTCCTTTTTGGTTGTTGTTGTTTTCAATTCATATAGATATTCTGGCGAAATCCACTAGAAAGACTAAATTTTTTAACTTTGGTTTTAATATAGCCACGCCCATTTCTAGAATATTCTTTGATTGAAAAAGTTGTGGAACAAATGTTGTTAATGAAGCGATATTCTGCCGAAATCCGCAATAAAATCTGCGTTTTGCAAACTTAACTTTAGTCCTACAATTGCCACGTCCATTTTTAAGGGTTTGTCGCCTTAAAGAAAAATCTTGCCATACAAATATATATATATATGGATAGGTATTCTATCGGGATCCGCAATAAAATTTTACTTCTTTGCAAAAGCCCGCTGTTTAACACCTTTCCAAATATATCTTAAAAAATAAACCATCTCGTCATAAAGAAAAATATTTAAAAAATAGTTCTTGAAAAAGCCCCATTCTTTAACCACGTTTTTTTTTATAGAGAATTAAACAAAAATTACCACGGTATAATTTTAAATCCCTAATTTACTGGTCTTCACTATGCAAATCAACTTCAAAAAGTTCAACTGTTAATAGCTAAGTTAGCTTTAGGGCAATCTTGACCATCTTATATACAGGAATGTTAAGCCCGTTTCTTTAGCTTTAAATCGACGTTAAGATGAAGTCTGTACGATGAGCAGAACCCGAGATATAACGATTTGAAGAAGTACATGATTAGTCAGAATCACGAAAAAATGCAAACTTTGACAGATCATATCTCCGAAGAAAAAAAAAAAAATTCCTCGAATGCGAGTTAGCTTATTTCGCGTATAGAACCCATAAAAAAATGTGAAGCCAATCGACACCAAATTTGGTGTCCGATATGAAAAACAATGTCTCAAATCGTGGAATCAGGTAAAGCTAAATCGTGTACACTCTTAATCGAATATACTCTATTCCATAAAATCCGTTCCCTCTTCATAACTATACCGTAGTTATTTGGTTGCTGAAGAAAAGTTTAAATTTTTGGACTGTTCATTCTTTGGTTCTTGACTAAAATACATACGTTTTCTTATAAGCTGAAATATTAAAATTTATTTCTATTGTTTTGTTTTGTAGAGCTGCTACGATTGTCCTGAAGGAAAACAATTGCCATCTACTCCGCGTTGATAAGGAACACTTCAATCGCATTTTGCGCGATGTGGAGGCAAACACTTTGAGGCTGCAAGAACATGGCAAGGATGTACTAGTGTTGGAGCGAGTGGCCAAGCAGCGCGGACAACATTCCGCATTTAAGTATGTTCTTGATCTCACCCATACATACATACATATGTACATACTATATGTACGTCCATTAGACCGCACCACCTTACAAGAAGAAAAAAAGTTCGCTCTGAGTCTAAAGCATTTTTGCAAAGCGATTTCGATATTGTTTGTTTTGTTTTTGCCGAACCTAGGGGTCGCCTTTTTACCATTTTGACATAACTTCAGCATTTACATTCGGATCTTAAAGTTTTTTTATCCCGAGGAGGCATTTTTTTTGTTCCAAAGTTCATTTTTTTGGTTCAAGTACAGCATGGGTCGCAAATAAAAATTAAAAACGGTGATTTCAATTCTTATATCCAACTTGGTACATACATACGTACATACGTATACTAGAGCCCCACTAAAGCCTTTATTTAAAACTAATCACAACTCATAATTAAAATGTAAGCAGTGTCACTCGCCTTACATTCGTAATGGATTAACTCTATTCGATAGTTTCACGCTTGTTCATGCTGACGACAGCACACATGCTTCCGATTATAAAGGCATGCAACATATTTTAATCCTTCGGACTTAAATCTAATATAATTTCATCCACCAATTAACCACAGTAGCATACCCAATCGAAAAGACTTTGAAACAACCATCCTCGACCCCCCGCCCCCCCTATTTTCATCTACGCACTTGCAATCATGTTTACATGTACATATGTACATATGTATGTATGTATGTGTACATATTTTACTCTCTTTATTATTCTATTCAACCAGATATACGGTCATGTCGGGAACACCATCCAAGATGTTGGAGCATTTGCTGGAAACTCGTCTTGGCGGTCAAGTCAGCGGTTTGGATCCCTTTCTGGACGATTTTTTGCTCACTCACATTGTTTTCATGCCGGTTGTGCAACTAGTGGATGAATTGGCTAATTAATATCCTTTTGTTAAAGCTAAACATGACATTCAAACACGCCTACACATGTAAATTAGAATCACACATACATATACATATACTATATATATATCATATGTCATATCAATAGCTCCGCTATTTCAAAGTGATATTGTTTGCCACTCCTGTTAAATTATTTATTTTTAGGAATTTTCAATTAAAATGCAATTCATTCTCTACCAAAAGCCATATAAAAAGAAGTTTAAAAGTTTGTAAAACACTACAAAAACACGGAACGAATTTTCACCCAAATTTCAGGCTTTTTTCTCAGAAGTCTTAGAATTTTCTTGAGTACACAATTTTATAGCCCATTCAATTTTGAATTAAATTTTTTAAATGGCTAAAAATTACTGTTGATTTTTTTAGAATTTTTTCGCCGAAGCATGTTTTCACACAAGTTGGCATTTTAGTAAAACAAAGTGCCAGTTTGAAGTTAGTAAAAATTGTATTGATTTTTGGGAATTTCTTTCCAGGCAGTTTCTTCCAAAAAAAACACATAAATGGCGAATATACTTTTTACACACGTCATCTTTGTTTCTTCATTCTTTGTTTAAAATCCATTCTTCGTTAAAATATCGATGGCGTTTTTGATTTTTTTGTTTACTTGCCTCCAAACATAGTACATATGTAGGGCTACCAGAAGCCAGAACCCATCGACACCCAGGACACTTATCATACAAGTGAATATGGTGTCAATATATTCCTTATAAGAACAGTTGCTTTGGTCCTGGCGGCACTGTTTTGAAGTAATTTCTGGTATTATAAGCAATGCAGTTTTGCGGCACAATAAAGAATAGGGACCGGTGATGAAACTCAATTCTAATGGGTTTGTTGATAACATTTGTAAGCGGGATTCTTGCGCGGGCGGTGGGAGTTTGGGTTTTAGTGGGTAGCCCAACACGCTTCGGTGGGTGTCCCACACTCGGGAAAGGTAGTATAGAGACTAGCGCCCCCGGCCAGTGCATAAAGCATTTCCCTCTCCTACGAAAAAAAAAACAAAAAAAAAAGTACATAAATAAGAAATAATTAGCAGCTCTGCAAAGAGTTCACTCGGAGGCCGCGAAGGTCCATTGTGATGCCCATGGGGGGTTACCCCAAGCCTATCCCTACATGTCTTCGAACCATTTTAATTTTCTGGCGAATCCCAACAGTTCTTCCAGAGGAGCTTTCCCCAAGATATCCAGGTTCTCGAAGAAATGGCCCCCAAGAAATTTAAGGCGTTTTCCTCGAAGTGCTGGACACTCGCAAAGGAAGTGCTGGACGGATTTTAACTCCTCCTCATCCCTGCAGCTTCTACAGAAATCGTTATGCGGGGCTCCGAGCCTGGCAGCCATGTGGCCAATGGTCCAGTGTCCCGTTAGTATTCCTGCGAGACGCCTGACACTTGATTTTGAAAGCCCTAATAGACTCCTTGTTCTTCGTTCATCGAGCCGTGCCCAGAGCGATCGCGATACCCTGCAGGTGTGCAGATTTTCCCACCTACTGTTGGTAGCTGCCCTAGTCAGTCTCTTGACTAGAGCTTGTAGGGATCTTTGGCATTCTTTAACGCATATCGAGTTAGTCGTTGTCGACCCCAAGGCTTTGATAGCCGCGCCTGACTGTCAACAACGAAGGCAAGTTTAGATGGAGCTCATAATAATAACAAAAAATAATAACAAACACATAAATAAGTCTTCCTTAACCACGTTGCACTTTTCATTGTGATTCGAATGATGGCTCGCAAACACCCGAGGATCGGGAGTACATAATCAATTTCAAGAAGCGCGTTGTGCAATTCATGCAAAAATGGGTGATGGCCGTGCGGCATGCCGCTTTCGATGAGCCAAGTGTCTGTGATTTTATTGAGGTTGGAAAAATTTCATTCGTTTCCGGTTGTTATTAATATTAAACAGAAAAAATGTATTCAATTAGGATTTGGCCGCTGAGATAGAGGCTGATTCAGAATTGAGTGAGGAGACGAGTATCATACACAATGTTTTAACACAAATGGCCCGCTACCAGGAGGACCGCAACCAAAATGCCGGACAGAAATGGAAGCTACCGCCAAATGGCCAACCCATTTGCTTATTCAGTGGCAATGCCACGCCATCAAAAACCGTTATAAGACCTGATGACGACAGTGAGCCATTTAAACAAATAGCCATGCAAATCTATAAGATTTTAATTTACAGTTATATTCCGAGTATATTGCGCGGACCACACCTATTGCACATTACGTTTTCCTTTGCACACCACCGCCGAGCTGATAAAAGCCTGCGCTGCCGACAAGCTACAGTTAAATCGAGGACCAGAAGATCTAATATTAGTGGAAGTCAAATCGAATGGAGAGCGCTCGGTCTTCAAGGATAACGATGTCAGCATTCCTACTGGCCTTAGTCTGAACGGTCGGCTTTTCGTTTCTGTGAAGGATCACTTGGATGCCTTGGTAATTATACACACATGTACTTAAGTATGTACATATGTATGTATGTATATTTATTAAGGTGCATCACCAAATGAAGGTTGCGGGTTTTTTCCACCGGAATTATAAGCACAGTAATTTAAATCAGCATTTAACCATTATTTTAAGATTTTTATTTTTTCACGTAAAAATAATAATTATTGCTCAATTTTAATATCTTGTTCAACATAAATTAAATGAAAATTTTAGGAGTTTTATATTTTCGCTCAGAGATAAATATTATTATTTTGTCTTATTTTTCCACTTAAAAATAATAATTTTTAATCAACTGAAAGGGGCATACAAACGCAACCAACTGAAACTTTGACCTGAAAACATTTAGTCTTATTCCTTTTATAATAGGGTCGCTAGCTCTGAAAAAGATTTAACCGTTTTAACCGTCTCCAATCGGGATCAAAATTTATATGTGATATCTTCGACTGTAGTAGCATCGACGTGTAGGGGTTGAGGCTTAGGAATTCTGATGTAAAAATTTGCTTCCTACATTAAAGGACCACCCTAATATATGTACATCGTTTTATAAACTACGAATATGACAAAGAACTTATAAAGTCAGATTATATTTCCTCCTTAATAGACACCTCTACCCGAACAAGAGGCTCCAACAGAGGGCATGGATGTCGATTTGGAAATATTAAGCACCAAGGAAATAGCCTACCAAATAACACTTTTCGATTGGGATCTCTTCTGGGCCGTACATGAGTACGAACTTCTCTATCACACATTTGGGAGGCACCACTTTGGAAAGGTAAAGTGCATGTATAAATTATTGTTCATGATTGGGGAAATACGATCTAATATATGTAAGTACATGTCTATAAATGTGCATGTGTATGTGTGTTCATACATATCTATTAGGGTGATTGACTCGGTTTTTCCAAGCCGGTTTCCACCGGTTATTTTAAATATCTATAGGCGGTTTTTTGAAATCTTGATTATAAACCGGATTTTTATATCAAACAAATCGGTTTTTTTTTATTTCATGCAAATCTTGACCTCAGAAAAATTTTGAGTTTTACTTTATTTGGAGAAAGGAATGTTTGCCGCTTAAATATTTTATAGGTGTTTGGCCGAGATACTTTTAAATTCGTGCTTTGCTTCTTGATGTTGTGATACAAATGGAGAAATCTTCACTTTTACTCCACCTCCGAAGAACAATTTTTATGGCAGAAGTACACTCGGAGGCTTACCATTGTCTTCCGAGGGCGACCGCTATTTGAAGGAACCTTTTTTGATGTTGCTGGGCCCAGATTTTTTAACCATGGACCTACCGAGTGGCAGTATTCACTTCTAAGCACTCGGCTACGGCGAAAAAAGTCAGAAAAATTGAATCAAAATATTAAAAAAGTTATAATAAGACTAAAGGCGCTGGCCCAATGCCAATGTGTGGTTAAAAAGTGAAGGTCTGTTCCTTTAACATACAGAAATATTTTCCTAGAAAATTCCAGAATATTAGTAAACAAATTTAAATAATAAATACTGCTCAATGGTTCAGATTTATTTTTACATGAATGCGAATTAATGTTTGTATTTCAAAGAAATTCCTAGTGGGAAAATGGGAATGCATTACCTTTTTTACCAAGAAAAGATTAACAACTACAGTTGAACGAAAAGATGCATCGCAATGTAAGGGAGCGGATGGTGTTTGTTTAGTTTTGAAGTCACAATCAAAACAAAAAGTTTGAGATCTAACTCAAGTATGTTTTTTTTTCCAAGTTGTCTTCGATTGCCGCTTTGCTGGTCACGCGTTCAAAACCTGTGGCCCGGACTTTATTTTAATTTTTATTTTAAAATTCGATTTATAGATTCTATTTATAGTTTCTTAAAGCAACATGCGCCACATTACTTTCGTATGAAAACGCTGTAGAGAAATTCTTGCATCTTTTCGTGCATAGCTTATAGGTACTATCCATTACTTTTTGCATTCCCAAACATTACCTTTTCCCACTGGGTCATGGTGGAATTATACCAGGTGAAGTAGTTAGAGTGAGAAGAAAGATTTTGGCACTGCCTTATTTAAAAATTTGCCTATTCTGCCATTTGGCCAGCCTTCATACGTTTACGTTTATATTTAAAATTCTTGACAGTTCTCAAAGCGAAGCAAGCCTGAATTGGGCCAATACCTTAAACGTGAATTGTTCACTGATTTTTATTTGTTTTACTTTTGATCTAAAATAAACTTTGAAATAATTTAGCTTTGCTCTTTTCTAAAAAAAAAAGCTATCCTAACTGTTAATAGTTTTATTGTAATTTTGGTCATGACTTCATACCAACATGAGCATTTTCACTGTAAGAAAACGTATGTAAAATAAAATCGGTTTATATGGTTTTTTCTTAATTTCAAAATCTGGAAACGGGTTTTTCCAAATTGCAATTTGTCGAATAACTTAAAAACCGATTTTGTAATCGGACACCCTAATATTTGTTCAAATATTAAATGCACATAAACTGGTGATAAAATTTTAACGGTGTTTTGGAACTGCGATAAGTTTTCAGCCAAGATTGCTAAGGGGAAAAACGGTAGATGGGTATCTCGTCTCAGCTCTTATTGTTGGGCTTTTATCGTAGAAATACCCCACTATAAACACTTGAACGGGATACCTATTTTACCATGAAAAGTATTAACAGATTTACATAAAACATTCTACAAAGATAACAGTTATAAAATGGAAACGAGCGCTTTCAAGCGAATAAGTCCCAATTAGTTACATTTTCATGATAGAATCAAACTAAAATTATAATTATAAATACTATTACTTCTTTTTATTATTTTAGATTACCGCCAATTTGGATGTATTTTTGCGCCGATTCAACGAATTACAATACTGGATTGTAACTGAAATCGTGTCAACGAGTAGCATGAGTAAACGTGTCGGCTTGTTGAGAAAATTCATCAAACTCGCTGCATAGTAAGTTAAGCTACATCCATATGTACATATATAACTATGTATGTATCGCTCGTTTGGTGGAGGAACACTAAAAAAATAACTTTGTTAATTATTCGGAAAATATTTTAGTCCTTTTCGCTTAAACATTCATTTATAATGATTTTTGCAAAAAATTTAGAGCGTTCGATAGCAATCAAAAAAATGCCAGCCGTTAAAAATTTAGAGAACAAAGTGAGAGTTCGACGCAAAGGAAACTTTGGCTGGTTTTTGCCGTTTTCCAGAAAAAATTATCCAGTAGCAATACAAGAATTTACTTATCTGTATCTTTTACCTTTCTCAGCGTAAAAACTGAGCTTAAGCTGCGACTCGATTTTCAGTACAAATTCTTGGGCTTGAACTCAATCAGTAAAAAAAAATGTAATCTGATTCAAGCTCACTTTTTATTCATGAGAGCAGAGCCATTGTTTCTGCCACTGTCGACTGTCCTATAGTTCTTAGCAGAAATAAACGCTTAAAAGCAATAATGCACCAACGAAAAGGACGCTGTCTAAACTGAATGAGCTCTCACTTAGTACTTATGTATGTACATATGTACATATATTTTTAGTTGATTTTTGTTCAAAGGGAATCTTACCTAAAAATTTTAATGTCATTTTTCCAGAATTTTTAATTTTTTTTAATACGTATATACATTAGGGCGGTAGGACTGCCTCTTTCATATGTCGATTTGATCCACAAACGCTGAGATTGCAGTCGTAATCGCTAAAAACTTTTATTGAGATTATTTATTTATATCTGCAATAATATCATTTTCAATTCAAAAATGGCGTAGTTCGATAAAGAGTATTCTTCCTGCATCTTCTTGTTTGGGGGCGTCTGAAATACAGTTCGAAACCTATTTTCGCAATTTAACAAACTCCAAATTGATTTTACACCCATGGTTCCTTCGGAAAATTCACTTAGAATTTTACACGTAGAATCCTCCTATGCTATATGCGCTTACTAAAAAAAAATGAGCCGCCCTAATGTACACACATAGTAGTTCTAGCAAACGAGCGATATGTACAAACCTATATACATATTTGTAAATTTGCACAGATGCAAAAATAAAGCGAACCGTTTTGCTTTTGTAGCTGCAAGGAATATCAGAATTTAAATGCTTTCTTTGCCGTCGTTATGGGACTCTCAAATATGGCGGTTTCACGTTTGAGTCAAACGTGGGACAAAATTCCTTCAAAATTTCGAAAACTGTTTCAGGAATTCGAGGCTCTCATCGATCCCAGCCGCAATCACCGCGCTTACCGTGTCGTTGTTGGCAAACTACAGCCACCTGTTATACCGTTTATGCCACTTTTGCTCAAAGACATGACATTCGCTCACGAGGGAAACAAAACGAGCTTGGATGGACTGGTTAATTTCGAAAAGATGCATATGATGGCACAGACAATGCGCACAATTCGATTTTGTCGTTCACGTAGTTTGGGTAAGGCTTTGTGTTAAATTACATATGAATGTATGTATGTATGTATGTATGTATGTATGTATGTACCTAACAATAATATTTCCGACGTTGCATCATTTCTCATTACAGGCCTTGAGCCACCATCACCAAAGAGTGAAGCAGAAGTACGCCCCTACATAAGTTGCCTGCGTGTTATTGACAATCAGCGGGTTCTAACGGCTCTGTCACAAAAAATAGAACCGGCTCGCAAGACCTAAGGACAGGTACAGCAACGCAATAAGCCATAAGTTCAAAAGGGCAAATATCAAAAGCGTTACTATTGGAATAATTCAGGCAACATTTAACATCCTCTAAGATTGAGTCAACTAACTATCCTGGAAAACTCCTTGCCCGATACATACAAATTCAAGCCAAATTTTTATTATCATCTTATCTATAAACACATGTGTATGTATATGTACATACGTATGTACACTTAAACAATTTAACATGTATTCATGTGCATGTACATATACTTGTAAATGTACATACATACAAGCGTAGACATAGATATTTTATCGAATTATCGAATTTCAACATTTTACGCATTTAATGCATTCTACATAGTTTTCTTGCATTTTTACACACATTAATTTCTTATTTTGTGTATAATTTAGAAAAAAATTTTATTATTTATTTAGTCAATGATTTTACATATACATACATAACACCACAAAAATTAGAAGTGTATTCATATTATTTACTATATGTATGTATGTATATTAGACTGTGTCAAATAAAACGACTAATTTTTAACCGACTTCACAAAAAAAAGAAGGCTATCAGTTCGTCGGAATATATATATATATATATTTTTTATGTATGTTACCGCATAACTTTGGACCACGTTAACCGATTTCAATAATTATTTTTTTCAAGGAAAGGTGTTACCTCACAGGTGGTACCATTCTAATTTGGTTTACATCCGATCATTGGATCATGAAGAGATTAACGATAATCTTAAATTTTTATATGAGAATTGAAGTCGGTTTTGTTTTTTGCTTAAAAATTACTTGTTTTCTTTCGTTTCATATGAAAATTTCGTTGTCCCTCACAAAAAAATACTTGTGGCAAAATTTGCGTGCTCTATCTCCATTTTTAAAACTCCTTATTTTTGCGAGCGCTAACTGAAAAATGGAGATAGAGGCCCTTATTATGAGCTGCATTCGATTTTCGATCTTCGCTGGCTATCGAAGATCGAAGATCGAAAGTGAAATTCGTATTATGAGCTATGCAAGCGTGTCGAAATTTTCGTTGAGTATCGAATTTTCTGTCGAACAGAATTTTGCTTTCGATGGTGTAGCGAAGTGTTAGAAAATTGTGAAAAATTTATGATTTTGTGTATGTTTTCTTACATTTTGGCGGCTAGACACTAATTTTAAACAATTTTTATTAATTTCATGCAGTTCTAACATCGTGAATACTAAACACAAGCTCGAAAGGCTGGTTTTACTTGTGAAAGAAAATCCCAATACTCTGTTGGCACGATCTCTGAGAACAAAATCGTAGCGCTGTTGATAGTTTTAAAATATTTTAAATAGATTTGGCTCACAAACGCCTCTTTAGATGGTCGGAACTTTTTAATGAATCTGTAGACAAATTTCTTAAATATATTTTATATCAAAATATATTCGAAAGACTAATAAACTTAAACTCTCTTAAACATTTGCTACTCCTGGCCAGTTTACTAAGCTCTCATCCTCTGACGAATCGTTGAACCAGAACTCGTTGTACTCATTTTACCACGTTTTTATAAACTTGCTTTCTTTTTTACTTCATTTTAATTAGAACAAATTTACATAAATATGTATAAGCACACTATTTAGTTTGCTCGATTTGTAAACAAAGCTTCTCAGCGGTGAAAAATATACTATTGTGAACAACCTAAACGAGCGAAATTCACAATAGCGCTATTCTTCATCGAATGAGCGCCATAATACCAAATGAAAATTCGTTCGCTCAGCACTTTCGACCACAGTCGAAAATCGAATACAACTCATAATAGGGGCCAGAGTGCTGAAATATTTGCCACAAATATATTTTTTTGTTACCCAACAGTCAAATTTTCTTATGGGACCGAAAGAAAAAAAAACAATTGTTTTATTTGACACAGTCTAATGTAAATATATATATAAATACATACATATGTATATATGCCCATGCCAAAACAATTTATTTTCTAAGATAATGCGAATTGTATAAAACATTATAATCATGATATTCGTATATCTATGTCAGTGGTGCACAGTGTTGACAGATTAATACCTGCGCAACATTTTTGTCTTAGTATGCATACACTAGCAACAGGACCACGCTACCTTGCGACCAACACCAGTAACCAAAATGGTCCAAATATATGGAGAAAATATGGTTATATTAACATTGGACCTGGCCACCTCTGGTCCAACGCTGCATAACATGGGACCACCTAGACAACTACTACTTTTGGACCATAGCACATTCGGAATCCGAATCTTATTGCCGATGGGACACGAAGATGTAGTGTTCAACACATATATCAGTTTTTAACCGACTTCCAAAAAAGGAGGAGGCTATCAGTTCGTCAGAATATTTTTTTTTTATGTATGTTACCGCATAACCTAACCTAAGGTAGTGTCTCAGAGGTGGTCCCATACTAATCTGGTTTATATCCGATTATTGGATCATGATATATATATATATATATATATATATATTTTTTTTTATGTCAATTTTTTTTTTGCTAAAAATTACTTCTTTACGTTTGAATTGGACCAGGTCAGCATAACAAGTTACTAGTATGCAACCTGTCCTTTTGCACATACTGTAAAACTACGACCAAGTGGACCAGTTGATCCTCAAACTTTTGCAGGGAAGCGCAAACGAATTCGCTGCTAGCGTCGCAATAGTTCGCTAGCTACGCACACACGAATTGTATGTGAAAGCCGAGTAGCTCCCGGAGACTCCCGTGTGCACCACTGATCTATGTTGATATCGTAGGCATATATAGATTTTACCTTAGCACGTATTATAGATTTTATTAGTGGAATTCGCGCCTTTGTGTATTCCTTGTATCTTGCCGTATTGTAACGGAATTAGCGTGTGATTTGTTGTTCCTCTAACTACATACATACATACATACATATCGCTCATTGACTTCAATAATGTCATAACTAAAGAAAGCAAAACTCGAGAAAAGTTTTGAGTTTACATATACTGCCATAGTAAAATTGAATACATATTTTTTTCTAGTGAGATACTGGTAATCTTCACAGCTATAAAATTTGTACACAACATAGAAGAAGAGGTAGCGGTAATTTCTGCATACTTAACTCAATATTTGTATTTTTTGGATTATGACACGATTGAAGTAGATAAATGAGCAACGAGTACTTAGTAGAATGGAATGGAATGGAATGGAATTGTGGGTGGCCGGAAAAACCAAAAACAAATTTTGCCAAGCACTAAAGCAGCATTGCCCGTTGTACTTAAGGCCAAGAAACAGGATTTAGAGGAAAGGGATATGTAGGTGGGGGGTGGGAATTCATTACTCATCTGCAAACTTACCAGACTTACCTTTATGAATTTTAGCAATTTGTTAAGGAAAGGTACGTCGTCCATTCTCAGTATATCCGACCCAAAAATGTGCCATCTGAGTCTGGCGAAGGCCGGACAGCGGCAGAGAAAATGTTCTGTACTATCCTCGTCCTCCAAACACGATGTACACAGTGGATCGTCGATGATGCCTATGGTGACCATATGCCGTCCCCATGGATTGTGCCCCGTAATCAGTGCTACCAGGGCTCGTAGATCACTCCTTCCTTGTCTGAGAAGAAATTTTGCTACCACCCTGTCGGGCCTTTTCAGGAAACACTTGGTTGTTTTGCAGGTCTCAATAGTGTACCAACGGCTCTCATGAGTTTAGCTTATGAGATCCTTGATGCACCGGATCGTTCCCGCTATGCTTGGCCCTACAATTGGCTCCGGTCCAATTGGGCGCTCCAGAGAACCGAAATTGGCCAAATTCATCAGCCAGTTCGTTACCTTGAACACCGTAGTGTCCTGGCGCCCACACAAGTTCACGCTCATTCCATCTTGTAACGGAGTTCAGCCTCCACTTACATTCCTGGACTAACTTTGAAGAGGTTCGAGAGGTTTCCAGGGCCTTTAGGGCAGCTTGGCTGTCACTGCAGATCCTAATTTTATGTCCGCGCCACCTTTCGCCAGTTATCCAGTCTGCTACTTTCAGTATTGCAAAGACTTCCGATTGGAAGACCGTTGTCATTGCACCCAAAACGGTAAAGCATCTGAAGTTTCCGTCCAGATGCCATCAAGCAGTACTTAAAGAATGGACATGAAAAAAACTAGTCGATTATGTTTACTCATCACTTGCGTAAAACTAATTGTAAATATAAAGTAAGTATACACATTCATAGGGTATTTTGTCGTTATTAATATTCTTCGAAATATGGTCGCCGAAGTGTGAGCTAGCGGAGAAAATTTTGTGCAAAAAGCAAGAAAAAGTATGTGTGGACGAGGAAACATATGTCGAAGCAGCCTTTAAGCAGGTTCAGGGCGCTGAGCTTTATAATGCAACGAAGACAAATGGAGTCCAAGATGCCTTCAAGCTAAAAATGTTGGACAAGCTCCTTGTTTTTTGTTATTTTTTGGCCTACTTTTTGAGTGGCAAGCCATCTGCCGGTGTGGCACGAAGAGAAAAAATTTATTATCACGGGCTCTAAAAATCAAGTAATTTATATAAAGAAGTGTTTGCAATAACGTTCGCTTCGTTCATAAAGCAACATAAAGGCTCAGTTCGGTTCTGACCCGATTTAGCATTGAGCCATTATAGCCCTTTTGCCATGAACTGCTATGTCAGATACAGGGTAGATATTGTTCAGAAGGACCACAACCCATCAAACTCTTCATGATGACGAAACGTTGTAAATTATTGAAAGGAAATAGTTAAAAACGTAAGAAAATTAGCAGCATTTCGAAATTAATAAAGAAGATGATAAAACAGAAACCTTTTTTCTTATATTGTGTAATATGTTGTTATAATGATTTTCGGCTGACCAAAATTTTTCGTGTCCATTCTTTAGTACTTAGTAGTAGTGTATTGTAACCACGCAGCAATAAGGCGACCAATTTTCCGAAAAGCACCAGTACCTCACCTTGGTTTTTCTGCTTGCGACCAGTTCCTAAGTTATAGATATTGACAAAAAACGAGTCCCTCGCACATTTGTAGTGGTTATGGTTAGACATTTTTATCAAGAATGAGTTCAACTCAATAAAAAATTTCCAAACAATCGTTCAAACTGAACATTTCAAAGCACATTTACATACATAACGTGGCTGTAGCTGAGTGCGCAGAGATACTTGCTACTATTTGTTAGTTTTCGGAAGGGTCCGCGCTCAAATGCCATTCACCACAATAACACATCTTAAGACTGGTTTTCACTGTGTCATATTTTGACGCAAAAATTAGGCGACATATTTTTACACAACTTTATCCACTCCTTTATCTATACCTTTACCGATAATATTATGGGCCAAAAACTGACAGATAGACGATCAATCGATAAACCGCTTTTTAATCCCATTTGCCAATGTGTTTTCACTTATTTGACGACAAATGCCACTAAATATGACATAGTGAAAACCAGCCTTTACGGTGAATTGTTGGACCGGTAATTTTCTAATGACACGCCAATGTTAAAAATGACAGTTAGTTGAAGCCATTGGCGTGGGAATTATGAGGGACTAGTGCTGGTGACGATAGGGAACT